CCCGATCCTATGGGAAGACGCCTGCCTGTTCTCTACTCTCTTTCCGAGAACTACAAAAGCCTGCCGGCATCTTTTGATCCCCGCAAAAAATGGCCAAACTGCAAGACTCTCTTTGAAATTCGCGATCAAGGTAGCTGCGGATCCTGCTGGGTATGCTCTCGAGCACATTTTCTGACGTTTAGATGCATTACTTTCTTTATCATAATTGAGAGAAGACGGATACTTATTAGACATCCACATCAGTCCTTCTAGAAGACCTAGTAGTATTCTAATAAAACATGAGCTGTATAAACTACGGTTATTGAAAATGGGTTAATACATTTTTTGCAACTTGTATCGCAGGCGTTCGGCGCGGCTGAAGCCATGTCGGACCGACTATGCATCCAGCAGCAGACAGTAAGCGGGAGGGCAGTGATGGTACGACTAAGCGCCGATGATCTGCTCTCCTGTTGTCGTGACTGCGGAATGGGCTGCAATGGCGGTTTCCCCTCTCAGGCGTGGAATTTCTGGAAGCATGAAGGTCTTGTCAGTGGTGGTCTCTATGGTACTAAGGGGGTGTGTCGCGCCTACGAGATACCCCCCTGCGAGCACCACGTCAACGGCACCCGTCCTCCGTGCGAGGGCGATGCCCCAACACCTAAGTGTAAGAATGTCTGCCAGGAGGAGTACAAAGTTCCCTACAAAAAGGACAAGCATTACGGTGAGTGGGCATGGAGGATTACCTCTTGTATGTATTGTAACGTCTGGGCCATATCTGTGGATATACTACCCTAGAAGTGGGTTCATTTATGAATGGTAAGTAACTGAATGATTGGTAGTCGTGGATTTCATATCATGAAGTACAGATTAAACCACATAGTGTCAAAAAGGTCAAAGCAATCAAGTGCCCGATCAGATAAAAGTAATTCTTTTGCATTGCAACCAAATCCATCAGCTCTCGTGAAGAAAACGTTGAGCAAAACACACATCACCACCATTAGTGATGCAGTTTTGATGATGGAAACAAGGCAAGAATTTATTAACAACAAATCTGTGATCTGTTACAACACGAGTAATTTCCTCCTTGCCTTCCCCTAGCCGTGAAAGTGTACTCTGTTCATTCCAACGAGGATGCGATCAAGCACGAGCTGATAACACACGGTCCTGTGGAAGCGGACTTTGAGGTGTACGCTGACTTCCCCACCTACAAGTCTGGCGTGTACCAGCATGTGAGCGGCGCGCTGCTCGGCGGCCACGCAATTAAGTTGATGGGCTGGGGCGAGGAGGACGGCGTACCCTACTGGCTGTGCGCCAATTCCTGGAACACTGACTGGGGTGAAGGCGGCTTCTTCAAAATCCTCCGAGGAAAAAATCACTGCGGCATCGAGAGCGACATTGTCGCAGGTATCCCACAAAACTAGCTTCCACGTCGGCCAGAGCTCTCCGGATATTTGATCAGTGTGATTTGTCATTCACCGTTCCAAATCAAAATTTTTACTGCCATTTGAACTGATAGCAAATTTCAACGACTGCTCTTCGGAAAAGATTTCGCTATTTATGTAAAAACTAAATTGCTAAATGAAACAAACTTGGGATTTCCAGAGAGACTTAAAATTTAACTTACTTGTCTGAAACTAGCTCATTACAGATGACTCTAGGAATAAAGTAGGAAGTCTTTCACTGAAGAGCTTTGAAATGTTTAAGATGGTGATGTAGACTGTATAGCTGGACTTGGACGTGGACAGAAAAAGACAGGGATCGCGCATGCGCAGTTCACTCGGGGTGATGAGGCGGTCGGTCTTCTTTAGCCTCGGGCATCTTATGGTGCTGATAAACAGTTTGGAAGTGTGGGTGCATCTGTTGCACGATCTCTTACTCCGAAGAGTTGCTATGACTACCATGGCGATTTACGGGGTGATGTAATCGTGCCGTTTTTCACAAGACTCCATTGGAGCAAACAGGATTGGAAGTTGAAAGAGAATAGGCATCAGTATTTCTCAAGACAAATAATTTGACAGAGAGAATATTCCCTACAACTCTTTAATGGGACTGTTCAAATAAAAATGTATGGTTAAGAATAGTTATGGATGTCTCCATCAATGATGGTGGTGCTTTAGGGAGAAGATTAATGGTAATTTTACCTCGTTCTCAGGTCTTTGGCTTTTAGTTTCACATTTTCTTCGGACTGCAACAGGGTCATGATGCACCTAGAATGGGTGCTTCTTGAGTAAAAATTGGGACTGAATGAGGCTAAGCAAAGGTCTTATTCCGTGATTATAAGTAGCCTGGCCCTCCTGAAGATCGTGCGGTTTAGGGATTAGTAGTATGCAAAATTGAAAAGAAATGATTATCAGGTTGTTTCATTAGGATTGGGGTCCATTTAGTATGCTTGAAAGACGCAGAAGTGATAGCCAGGGTGAGAGAACATGCACATGTTGACAGCTTGTATAATTCCGCTGCAACAATGCGAAAGGCGAAACCCGTTTTTATAAGGTGAAGTAAGTAAGGACGCCAAGGCATACAGGTTACACAGTTCACTAATTTGCTTCTAATGTCATGCTCACATTCTGAATGGATAAAACAGTGAAACATTTTAGTCACTGATATACTGTCGGATAGGATTTACATTTGTCAGAATCGCCGCATGACAAATTCGTTTATTTATAAGCTATATCGAACTACCACGTCACAGTAGTGATGGGTGGACAAGGTCAGGCTCTGTTCTGCTCCAATCAGACTCTAGGCCCGGAGGGACCAATATGCTGCTTGTAGGCTACGAAGGCTGGCGCGAGTGTGCTACTGGGTCGTCCGATTCTCGTCGCTCGTTTACACCACAGGAAAATGCTTCTTCAACAGCTTCTCATGTTGCTGATTGCACACTGGTCCTCCAGAAAGCCACATCAGAGCGACCGCTTAACGGACATAATAGAATATATCAATAACAAGGTAGGAATGTAATCTTAACTTACATTATTTGTGTCAGATCATCATGTCAACGTCATAGATAAGTTCGTTGACTTTGTGAAAAGTTATCACGAATGCCGTTAGACTCAGTGGCTCTAATCTGGTATGCGAAAAGATGTTATTGCTCAGAAACGATTTGATTTCACGCTTAAGTAGACAGTCTTAGCAGAGAGTACGTTAAAAATAATTTAGCAGCATTAAATAAGACGTTTTGTGTGGAGCATTTTGTGTCGTGTAGACTGAGTGTAAAAGTAGTCATTTCCGGAGCCGGAATAGCTCCTGGCATGGTGTTCAGAGTACAAATTCCACGAGATTACTCCGATGTTAAACGTGTTTAGTGATCTCTGCTAGTATGGGTGTGTGCCATGCACACCTATTACACACATTTGACCGATGGAAAATCCAGAGCGAGAATATTTTCCAAATGGTTTGTCGCACCTAGTGTCACGACGGCGATGAGGTTTCAAACTGACTTATGAACAGGTTGTGTAACGAGCACAATTTGCTAACTCTTACCGTCTATTTATTTGTCTAACAGCACACTCAAGACGCACAAATAACTTAGGTGGGTTGCAATCGGTCTAACCACATCATGAAACGGCCATTTACATTCTTTTTTCAATGGAACGGAAATATCCACCTAATTATGGTGGATATTGATAACTAAAATGCTATCACGATACTTCGAGAGGAAATCTCTATTAACAATCAGTAAAAAATAAGATGTACAACTATGTGTTTTCCTATCGAATCAAATAGTTAGACGATGGAGGGGAAAGTGATATGAGGGCCGATATTAAATTATAGCCTAAACACATTCACTCCTTTATTGTTTAACTTTTAATTATCCAGGCGAATACAACGTGGAGGGCTGGAGAAAATGAACGTTTTACTGATGCTCTCTCAGCAAAGTCACAGATGGGAAGTCTTTTCAACCCAGGGGGATCCATGCTGCCCACCAAGTCGTCTCACCTCTCGTCGATGCAGAAGGCGGCGCTTCCCTCAGAATTTGACGCACGCAAAGCCTGGCCTGATTGCCCCACCATCGGCGAGATCCGCGATCAAGGCACGTGCGGATCCTGCTGGGCAAGTCCACAACGCTTCGATCTACCGTCGAATCTTATTGTCGATGAGTTCATACATCTCTTGCGCATAAAGACATTCTAATGACCATTGAAAGCTTGCAACATCCATTATTGTAATCTGAAATTAAAAAACAAGTGGGAACGGAGGGCCTATTAAAAATTCTAAATCCTTTAGGCTTTTGGAGCTACTGAAGCTATGTCAGACCGTATCTGCATACATTCGGAAGGGAAGGAGGTGGTGAGAATATCTGCGGACGATTTACTCTCCTGCTGTGGTTTATTCTGTGGCTTCGGTTGCAATGGAGGCCTACCCAAGAACGCCTGGAAGTACTGGGCCAGAGAGGGGATTGTATCGGGTGGACTCTACGGGTCGCATGTGGGCTGTCGTCCCTACGACATCCCGCCCTGCGAGCACCACACCAGTGGCAATCGGCCAGACTGCAAGGGCAACTCGAAGACGCCGAAGTGCCAAAGGCAGTGTGTCGAGAGCTTCGATGGGGAATATCAGGCTGACAAACATTTTGGTATGCTCTAACAACACTCTCATAACAATTTAAATGCACAATGAGAGCATAAGTAGTTGAATAGTTTGGAGCTAGCTACTACGCAAGAAATCATTCTGATCTGCCAAATAGAGCATTCACTTCATCAGTCTGTGATCAGAAATATTGTCAATTATATTATGATACTATTGTAGCCTCGAATGTATACAATGTCCGAGCTAGCGAGGAGGATATTATGAATGAAATAATGGTTTACGGGCCGGTTGAAGCAGACTTCATTGTGTATGCGGATTTCTTGACCTACAAGTCCGGTGTCTACCAATATGTCAAGGGAGGATTCCTAGGAGGTCATGCGGTGAAGATCTTAGGATGGGGAGAGGAGAATGGGGTACCTTACTGGCTTTGCGCAAATTCTTGGAACACCGATTGGGGTGATGGCGGCTTTTTCAAAATTCTTCGTGGCTACAACCACTGCAAGATAGAAGCCGATATCAATGCTGGTATTCCAAAAATAAGGAAGTGAGCGAGACTTTCTGAAAACTTTGATTCATACAAAAGTTAATACTGTCTATCCCATTACTTGAATCTATCCTGAGATTATTCAAGCAATTCTCCTTTGGCAAACCGCGAAAAGAAAGTACAGGCATGAATGAGGTGCGGTTCAAATGAGTATTTTGATTTCACACACAAATATGCCTTGACGATATGGAATCCCATGATTCTCTGAAGCCGTAAAAAGGTGTAGTTCCTTGGTTGTTTGTCTAACCCTAGGTTTTGGAAAAGGGACCATTTAAGGTCTCCGCCACTGTACCTTTTTCAGGTGAGCTGGCCTGCGGGCCATATCAGTAGCTTTAATCCCTTCTGTATGTTGAATTTTGTATTCTGTTTGAGTATCGCCTCTTCTTTTGTCTTCAGGGAAGTTTCGAGGCACTACGAAGGCATATCACAACACTGTATTTTTTATAAATATAGAAAAGGGCTGTACGAATAGAACTTGCCCTCTGTAAGTGCGAATACAACGACTATGGAGTCTGGACACCTGCTGTATCTAGGTACACATTTAATCAAATATGGGATTATTATGGCGGCATCCTGTTCTGGTCTCATCGCCAAAGATGTGTGTCCGGCAATCCTTTTGCTGATTTGAAATCAAACTATCCAAAAAATGCTATAGAGTCTTTTAGAGATACTTAAAACTACAAATAATTTGTGGCTGAATAGAAAAGAATACACTACTCTCTTTGGCTGAGGAGAGTGTCAATTAAAAAATACAAGCAAATTCAAAGGATTATTAAGTAACCTTTGACAGCACAATTGTCACTAAGGCAGTAATTTAACATTCTTTCCACCACCTTTTCTTGTAGCTTACGGAAGGTGTAACGCATGTATCAGAAGTTTGATAATTAGTGTTGCTCTGTTGAACAGTTTGTAAACGCTTTTTACCTTGTCACGTTTTTGCTCGTTGAACGTTTTACAACAAAAATCTGGGATCGTAACCGTTCCGGACACAAATAATAGATTTCATTTTGACACATTAGATAACATACAAAGGGAAAAGTTATTGAGCACTTAATCTTAACATGCATTAAACACGTCATTCACTAGCACAGAAAATGCGTAAAATTCTAGATAATTAGGAATAACAAAGTGTGGGAGAATCAATTAAAAATGACGTCATTTGACTATTTTGTTTTAAAAACTCAAGAAGATTGGCAAACTTCGGATGTAGGCGCTTCGGGGGTGTGTGCATACCTCTGGAGTCTTGCGGTGGCAGCCAAATTGAATGTGGTAATGTATGCCTATGAAACATCTGAAGTATGACTGTGAAGTAGAAGTAGTGTCGTAGTGCCACATAGGTGATTCTTGCTTATCATATATCTTGCGTACGCAAATGTGCCGCTTTGTCTGAATCT